TTGGGGAGGCCTTGGAAGCGCGCCTCCAGCATCTCCAAAATATTTTCTTTCTACTTGAGCCCTTGGTATCAGCTCCTCTTCGGCCTCCCCTCCCCACCTCACTGTAAATCCTGGATCAATTGTATATTATTGTTGTTTTGTATCTGACACTGTCCGTTGTCTCCCTTCACCCATATTTCATTACTCGTCTCCCTGAGGGTGGGGGTGGGTGGGCTGTATATCCAACCTTGTGATGGGTTCCCCCTGCCCTGGCTGTACTTCTTCCAGATTTGTTTCTTTGGGAGTCCATGGTTCTTCCAACCCCGCACTACCACTGAGCTCTGCAGGGCTTCTGACGCTTTGAAACGCTTCAGATTGATTCATTTTTTCTTGAGCAGTGGATGGTGGGTTCAAACTACTGACCTTGCACCTAGCAGCCTAATGGTTAACTCACTGGGGCCCAAGTGAAGTACTTGATAATAAAAACATACATGTCCTCTTCAATTAAATGAAGTGCAGTTCTACTCTGAGACACACGGCGACGCTCTAGTCCACACAAAGTTCAGCAAAATAAGGAGAAATGCGCGGTGAGGCCTTTAAAGCATTTAAAAGCCAGAAGGTCACTTTGAAAACTAATGTACGCCTTGACCCAAGACATATTTTCAGTCAGCTCACATGCATGTGAAAATTGGACAACGAAGAAGGAAGACTACCCAACAACTGATGCATTTGAAGTGTGGTGTTGGCGAAGAATATTGAGAAGACCACAGACAAATCTGTCTGGAAAGAAAGAAGGCCAGGATGTTCTTTTTTTTTTAAATCGTTTTATTAGGGCTCATACGACTCTTATCACAATCCATACATACATCAATTGTGTAAAGCACATTTGTATATTCATTACCCTCATCATTCCCCTTGCTCTAGATCAGTGGTTATCAACCTCTGGGTCTCGACCCCTTTGGGGGTCAAATGACCCTTTCACAGGGGTCGCCCGATTCATAACAGTAGCAAAATTACAGTTAGGACATAGCAAGGAATATAATTTTATGGTTAGGGGTCTGCACAACATGAGGAACTGTATTAAAGGGTCGTGGCCTTAGGAAGGTTGCAAACCACTAGTGTAGACGATTCCAACTCATAGCAGCCTTATAAACAGAAGGAAACATTGGCTAGTT